CCAGTATTAGACATGTGCCGGTATTTGGTAATGCGATATATCACGATAATGAACATGCACGATATTGTTATCGTGGGCACTTCAAAATACAGAGAATAATTATTTATTACAAATTATTCAAAATTTTAAATGCATTTTAAGAATAGTTTCCCATCAACTGTTCACAATGCACAACACCACTATATGCTGCGTCACAGACACGTGTGTACTCTGATGTAAACAAGCACGGATGAGAACGGCGGAGCGCGTGAGATGCTCTGAATGAAAGGCACATTCACTCTGACAGCAGAAGGCGGATAGCCGTAAACAAAGTAGTTGTGCTACTTTCTAAAATATATTTAAATTATTTAAATAGCCATTCAGATTTGTGTATTCGCTATGGTGTTCATCACAGCGCCAAATATTTAGACTTAATAGGCTATTTATTTTAAAACTTTTTTTTTAATTTTATTCTGGACTACAACATGCCCTAAATATTGTTTGAAAGTGTTTTGATTCTTTATTGTTCGGTCAAACTTTACATTAGGTCTACATTAGTTAACAGACAGTAAACTGCCATTGAAAAAATCTTCTAAACATTCATTAATCTTGGGTAATTCCAATATTTAATAACACGTTGTTAAAATCAAAAGTTGCAACTGTGTTATTTAATGAGTTAACATGAACTAAGAGTTGTATTTTTTTAACAAAGATTAATAACTTCTGTAGCAAATGTAGCTATTGCTCATTGTGAATGTTAATGCATTAACTAAGGTTAACTAATGAGATCTTATTGTAAATTGATACCTATTGGTCTTTATAATTCTTTTGCACTTTAATGTGTAAAATGTTTAACTATACATTTTTTGTGTATTGCTTTATTGTTTTTAAGTGTTCAGTTATTTTTGTTATAAGAAAAAAGTTATTAAACCTGTTATACTGTATTATGACAACACTTTTTTTGCAACTAAATTTAAACATTGTGATAATACCGTATACCGTGATAAAAGCACTAGCAATTAATCGCAACATGAAAATTTGATACCGGCATATCCCTAACCAGTGCTAATGGCGTGCGTGTGCACCCACATCGCCTCAGCAGGGAATTACAGAGGAGGAGTGAGGTAAGATGGGGTGTGTATGTGCTGCGCTAACCGACAGGGACAGGTCACTTTGCCACAGGTGTGCATTATTTTTCAATAATTCAGTGGTCTGTCATCAATTATTCCCTACACATTCAATTGAGACTGCAAACTCACAACTCTACTGGTAAAATATAGATTATTTTGCCTTGCCACTGTAGCTTCCATAAATTGCTCAAAAATGACTGAAATACTAAGATACTATCAAATCCCATCATTGCTTTATGTCTGTCCCAGGATTTAAAAGTGTTTTTGGAAAATATTTACTGAGTTCAAATCAGTGACCAGACTGTCATGACCCAACTGACCAAAGCCTGTCATGGTGTTTTCTATGAACCTCTTTGTCCAAAAGGTGGCAGTATGAAGTACCTATTAGAATCAACAAAGTCGGATCATGCCCACCAATCCACCTTTAGAAGTTAAAGACCACTATATCTGAGCCAAATCTTGGTCTTCAATCATAATTAATTATATATTTTTCCCTTTGAGCTAACTGCTTTCATTGTAGTAGCAAGTAAAAGAGTGACCAGTACATTATTCAAAATGGGCACTTTGTGTTTCACTGAGAAAATAAAATACAGATTTGAAGGAAAGGAAGAGAGACAGATATGTGTGAGCCGTGAGGAATTCTCTTATTTTGCAGGTGACACGTTCTTTGATGCAACTCCTATGAATGCAAAATCAAATCCCATGAAACTAGGAAAGTAGGGCAAAAAAATATGCAAATATGTCAGACATACAGCAAAAAATTTCAACGCTACCCTCAGGGGAAGTGTGGGGGAAGCACCAAAATCACAAGAGACAAGGTTCGAGTCCTTGAGAAAAAGACGAGTTCCCTGGAGTCAGAGGTTCAAAACAGAACCCAAGCGAGAAGATCAAATCCTATCCTACAGTCAGGAGGCTGATACAGTAATTAGCCAGGATTTCTAGGCCAACCTAACAGAGTCTTGGGGGTTGGGGATATTCTCAACAAATTAGAAGCAAATGCTGTTATCCCATGGGATATGTTTAGGCTGTTATTTTCTCTTTTCAATGAAGGTTCTCAGTTTGTCACAACTCACAGAGAACAGCAAAATGTGAACATTCCTCTCTATATGATCCAGGTTTCCAATTCTGTTACTTCAACTATGTAAGTTTGGTAACATAATATTGTAATTTTTTGACATATAATATACCACTTATTCAAACAACTTTTCGTTTCACTATGGCATATTATTTCAGCGAAGTAATGGCTAATTATAATCATGATCTTACTAGTTATAAAATGTTGTAGGTCTTTGGCTGTTTGTAGGAAAAAATGCATACAAGTAAGTAGTTCTACACGTGTGTTTTAAGGACAAAAATCTAGAAATGTCTCAAAATAAAACACCTAAATAATAACTGATGATGGGCCATTGAATTATAATTGAAAAATAATGCACCTCCTTGGGTGTGCATTATTTTTCAATAATTCAATGACCTGTCATCAATTATTCCTTACACAGTTTGAAATTGAGACTGCAAACTCACAACTCTACTGGTAAAATATAGATTATTTTGCCTTGCCACTGTAGCTTCCATAAATTGCTCAAAAATGACTGAAATACTAAGATACTATCAAATCCCATCATTGCTTTATGTCTGTCCCAGGATTTAAAAGTGTTTTTGGAAAATATTTACTGAGTTCAAATCAGTGACCAGACTGTCATGACCCAACTGACCAAAGCCTGTCATGGTGTTTTCTATGAACCTCTTTGTCCAAAAGGTGGCAGTATGAAGTACCTATTAGAATCAACAAAGTCGGATCATGCCCACCAATCCACCTTTAGAAGTTAAAGACCACTATATCTGAGCCAAATCTTGGTCTTCAATCATAATTAATTATATATTTTTCCCTTTGAGCTAACTGCTTTCATTGTAGTAGCAAGTAAAAGAGTGACCAGTACATTATTCAAAATGGGCACTTTGTGTTTCACTGAGAAAATAAAATACAGATTTGAAGGAAAGGAAGAGAGACAGATATGTGTGAGCCGTGAGGAATTCTCTTATTTTGCAGGTGACACGTTCTTTGATGCAACTCCTATGAATGCAAAATCAAATCCCATGAAACTAGGAAAGTAGGGCAAAAAAATATGCAAATATGTCAGACATACAGCAAAAAATTTCAACGCTACCCTCAGGGGAAGTGTGGGGGAAGCACCAAAATCACAAGAGACAAGGTTCGAGTCCTTGAGAAAAAGACGAGTTCCCTGGAGTCAGAGGTTCAAAACAGAACCCAAGCGAGAAGATCAAATCCTATCCTACAGTCAGGAGGCTGATACAGTAATTAGCCAGGATTTCTAGGCCAACCTAACAGAGTCTTGGGGGTTGGGGATATTCTCAACAAATTAGAAGCAAATGCTGTTATCCCATGGGATATGTTTAGCTCCAGCAGGGCCTCCAGCCGTGGAGGAATGATGTCATCAACCGGCTTCTTCAGTTCTTCCTCCGTTAGGTCCATAAAATGCACGAAAAAGTCTCCTTTATCCATTAAGAAGTAATGTTTGATTGACCTGTATCACAAAATGTAGGTGATATTGAGATATTCAGACCCGTTGTTGAATAATACCAAATAATCTGTCAGATCAGGGGTCTCCAGACTCGGTCCTGGAGGGCCAGTGTCCTGCAGAGTTTAGCTCCAACCCTCATCAAACACACCTGAACCAGCTAATCAAGCTCTTACTAGGTATAATAGTAACTTCCAGGCAGGTGTGTTGAGGCAAGTTGGAGCTAAACTCTGCAGGACACTGGCCCTCCAGTACTGAGTTTGGTGACCCCCGTTTTAGAATATACTTTGGGCTTTAGAAACAGATGACACTGTGATGCAGCTACACCCGAAGAACAAAGAATTAAGTTGTGGGGTGTGAGCTTGTGATGAGAAAAAGATTTATCAGTCTTTCAACATTGAATCAATTAAAATGATCTGGTTTTTAATGGCACTGACCCAAAAATGAAAATTCTGTCATCATTTACTCACCCCCTCATGTGTTCCCATCTCAGACTTCTGTTCATCTTCAAAAACTGTATTTTTAATGAAACCTGAGAGGTTTATGTCCCAGGAATTGAAAGTTCATACGACATGCCCCTTCTCTTTTAGTCGGTCAGCAGATGATTGTTAACGAAAAAATGGACAATTACTTCAAATCCAGATCGCTCGCGAATTGTAATCGAAGTCAATCGTTCAGCAAAGGAACTTATTCGTTCAAACGATCTAACCAGTGAAAATGCTCCCTCCATAGCCCACACACGAATGATATTTGCTCCTGTTTATAATCCATCCGACGGCAGAAAATAACACCAATGGAGTCACGCGCTTATTTCAACGAACAAAATACGAGACTGAACGAGAACGATTCACCTAAATGATTTGTTCACTCCACTATTCGACTCCGCTAGTGATGCGACATTCTAGCACTTTGCCGTTACAATCATGCCGTCAATACGCAACGAAGACTGACCTCCGGACAGCTCGCCCTGAAGTAAATTTGCAGTGTGGGCCCTGGGCGTCAGTTACGTCGTTTGTAGACAGCTTCGTTGATTATGATAGGAGCAATAGTTTGCCGCTTCGCGTCGTTCGTCTACAGTTGTTGTAGTATAATCGGTTCCGTATGTAAATAGTTTGGGTTAGAGGAACGGATTCGTTTAATGATAATATGCTGTGTTGGTGAAGATGCGATCCTTTGTTTTGACACCAAACTTTTCAGCCTTGTGAAGCATATACAAACACCACTAGAATTTTCTTCGCATTTTTATTTTCCCTACATCTAATCTTTAAAAAATGACCAATCTGACTGAAAGGAGTCGAACATTATAGTTATTCCAATGCAACTATCTGCTGATTAGATGAGGAAAAACACTTACCCAGCGCACAGAGGTGCAGAGTCTCCCTCTCCGATCCCTCTTACGCAGTGAAATAAAGAACTACATAGAAATACTGCTTTTTAACAACAGTAAAATCGTGTTCATAGGGTTTACGGTTGCAGTTAATTTCCCCGACTCCGGAATAGCTCCGGGAAAAGCAAGCGGGCTGTTAATTTCCGCTTCCTTCGTGTTATGGTCCGCAAAGATGGAAAGGTCTCCAAACATAAACTTCACACACACTGAAATACTAGTGAAACTACACAAATCGACAGTGCACCATAGATCCGTTTGATTTAAACGCGCGTATCCTCTTATCTAAACCTTTTAATCTCGCATTGACGATTGCAGTACAGATTGGAACTAAACAGAAGAGAATGGTTGTTCCAGTTATCTATGAGAAAAATGCAGCATGACAACACAGATGAACGGATCGACATCTAGTGGATAAATAGTGACATTGCTGGACCCCATAATTCAGAGAGATTTCTGGCTGCAGAAGCCAATTTACAGTAAATGTGAGTAAAAATACACAGCAACACTTGTTGGGTTGGTGCAGTGGTTAGGAAACACAAACAGACCCACACGAGTCTCGCATCAATATTTGAACAACTGCAAACCTTTTAAAAAAAGAAGACGAAATAGTGATGCCCTGATGGATAGAGGTGCAGTTGCCATTTCATAACTGGAGGTGTCAGCTGGTGTCCAAGGACAGTGAGTGTCTAACTAACCTATCTCTGCAGAGACACTGAGACTTGTGGATGCTGCTGCTCTATCTCGTGCGTCTTCAAACAAGTTTTCCGCGTTTTTATCCTAAAGAAATCTGATATTTGTAAAGCTCATGTTTGCTTCGTTTTTATTCGTTTTTTTATTGATTGCATGCATCGATAAGGTATATGTAATGAGTACGGTGGAAATAGTGTATAGAGTTATAATACTATAAATAGCAAATATAAGGCGGTGACAATGGTGTGACTTTCACTGTGAGACTTGAAGTTATTAGCTGCTGAGGTAGATGTAGATACGGCATTTCTTTCACTATTTTTAACATGGATATTTCTGAAGATTCTGAAAACTCATCTCTGCTTCTCTTTAACTCGTCAGGACATATAACAGGTAGGCATATTTCAGGGAAACCGTATTGTGGAAGTGAAGATAGAAATCCAGTTTGGTTTAGAGCAAATCAGCTGATGTTATAAGCTACTTCACGAACTGTTTTAAGGAAAAGTAGCATGCATTATTATTATTATTATTATTATATAACTAATTATATTACATGGTATGAATGCAGCCTTTCTTTCTTTCTGTCTTATGGGCATTCATAAAGTATGTATTTTAGGCACTGTACATTCTTAAAAAATAAAGGTACTTAAAAGGTTCTTCACAGCAATGTCATAAAATAAAATTTTTTGGTTCCACAAAGAACCATTCAGTCAAAGGTTCTTTAAAGAACCATCTCTTTCTTACCTTTTTATAATCTGAAGAACCTTCTTTTGCCACAAAGAACCAATTGTGAAACAGAAAGGTTCTTCAGATGTTAAAGGTTCTTTATGGAACCATCTTCTATGGCATCGTGAAGCACCTTTATTTTTAAGAGTGTAGCTACCATTTCTTTTAAGTTTATCACCATAACAACTGCATAATATTTAATTAGCATAAGAATGAACAAAAAGCTGTTTAATAAATGCCGTACACCATATGTCAACATTTTTCTCTTTAAAGTTTGTTCTTTATATATTGTATCTATTATAAACACACACACACACCACACATGGATCTCATTCTTATGTGTGATTTCATTGTGTGCTTAGTGACCATGGGGGACCAGAATGGAAATGCCATCTTGCCCAGTATTTTTGGGACCATATGTTTTTTGGGCATCATTGGAAATTCTATTGTCATCTACACCATCATTAAAAAGACCAAATGCCAGGCTAAACAAACGGTACCAGACATTTTCATATTCAGTCTCTCAATTGTGGATTTGATTTTCCTCCTCGGCATGCCCTTTCTTATTCATCAGCTCTTGATATTCTCAACAAATTAGAAGCAAATGCTGTTATCCCATGGGATATGTTTAGGCTGTTATTTTCTCTTTTCAATGAAGATTCTCAGTTTGTCACAACTCACAGAGAACAGCAAAATGTGAACATTCCTCTCTATATGATCCAGGTTTCCAATTCTGTTACTTCAACTATGTAAGTTTGGTAACATAATATTGTAATTTTTTGACATATAATATACCACTTATTCAAACAACTTTTCGTTTCACTATGGCATATTATTTCAGCGAAGTAATGGCTAATTATAATCATGATCTTACTAGTTATAAAATGTTGTAGGTTGTCTTTGGCTGTTTGTAGGAAAAAATGCATACAAGTAAGTAGTTCTACACGTGTGTTTTAAGGACAAAAATCTAGAAATGTCTCAAAATAAAACACCTAAATAATAACTGATGATGGGCCATTGAATTATAATTGAAAAATAATGCACACCCGCCTCTTGTCGTGGCGACATTACCTCCTTGGGTGTGCATTATTTTTCAATAATTCAATGACCTGTCATCAATTATTCCTTACACAGTTTGAAATTGAGACTGCAAACTCACAACTCTACTGGTAAAATACAGAATATTTTGCCTTGGCACTGTAGCTTCCATAAATTGCTCAGGAAAAAAATTGCTGAAATCCTGAGATACTATCAAATCCCATCATTGCTTTTTGCCTGTCCCAGGATTTGAAATTTTCTTGTGCAATCATTGCCAAAGAGCGTGGAAGAAAAATACTAAGACCAACTCTCCTGAGCTTCTTCTTTTTGAATGGGGTGAAGTCAATGCAGAATAGGCAACAACCAGAGACAAAGGTCTGGCAACCCTCTCTTTACACTCCTGCAATTTTTAATGTGATAAATAGCAATTATGACATATGATAAGAAAAGTTGCTAGTGTTACTGCGATTAATCCCACTTACCATAGACATCAAATAAACAGACAATTTTTTGCCAAGAGACT